TGGGCGATGAGCAGGCTATGTTCGGTTTGGGAGTCGCCTGGCTCGACGCCGACGGGGACGGCTGGCAGGACCTCTATGTGGCGAATGACACGACGCCGAATTTTCTCTATTTGAACAAGAAAGACGGCACCTTCGAGGAGATGTCCTATTTGTTGGGTGTCGCGGTGAGCGAAGACGGCAAGGAGCAAGGCTCCATGGGCATTGCCGTGGGTGATTACCGCAACGAGGGTTGGCTGAGCCTCTTCGTCACCAACTTTTCCGAGGAATACAACACGCTCTACCACAATCACGAAGGGGGCTACTTCAGCGACGCCTCCTTCCGCACCAAGACCGCGGCGGTGAGCGTTCGATATGTGGGCTGGGGCACCTCGTTCCTCGACGTGGACAACGACGGCTGGTTGGATCTCTTCTTGGTCAACGGTCATGTCTACCCCCAAATCGATCAAATCCAGCTCGAGGCATCGGCCCCGTATCGTCAGCGACGGATGCTGTTCCACAATCGTGGTGACGGGACCTTTGACGAAGTCGTCGGCGGCCCAAAGGATCCAATGGGCCAAGAGACCGTGAGCCGAGGCACCGCGGTCGGAGATCTCGACAACGACGGCAGGCTCGATGTGGTCATCAGCGATCTCGACGGCAGAGCCCAGGTGCTTCGCAACGAAACTGAAAACGCGGGCCATTGGTTGCAGATTCACTTGCAGGGCAAGGGTCTGAATCGAGATGCGGTGGGGTCCCTGATCAAAGTCCGTACGGGCAAATCGACCATGATCCGTCCGGTCCGCAGCGGCACTGGGTATCTTTCCCAGGACGACTTGCGCCAGCATTTTGGCCTCGGCTCAGCGAAAACCGTGGACGAGATCGAGGTGATTTGGCCGGACGGCTCCAAATCGGTGCAGAAAAAGATCGCCGTCGATCAGATCCTGAAAATCCGCCAACCCTGAAATCCAGCAGCCTCTTCGTGGTTGCCATCGGACTGTTGCCATCGGACCGTGGGGAAATCCTCGCACCGCGAATGCACGAATGCGCAATTCCGGATATGATGCGCTCATTACCTTATTTTCCTAGGCACGCCCGAGGGTCTGCAGACGAGCTT